TTGGTGAGAGAAATTTTGAGATGGAGCATCATGTTTTCAGGGAATGGGGAAGAGAATGGGATGTATCAGAGTAGAGAGAGAAGAAAATAGTGTAACTGAATAGCGTATTTAGTGGCTTAGGGCTACGAGGTAACCAAAATTAAATATTTTGCTATAAACCTTAAAAGGTATCTATAAAATATAATCTTTTTAAATGGTATTTATTTAAATTAAATAAGGTGTTAACCTTTGCTATAGGAGGTAAAAATTCCTACTTTTAAATACCAATATACTCATTTTGTATTTCCTTTAGACCCGATTGTTCGAAACAAAGGTGGATCTATTTCATTTTTACACTTTATTTTGTTAAAACTTGTGTCTTTTTTCTTATTACCCATTAATAAAGCATTTAGATCTTAGACCATCTAATTTTGACACTGAGTGCTAGTTATAAGACTTAGCAAAAATAAATAAGGTTATTTCAGATGACATTACGATAAGAAATTAAACGCAAATAATATTTCTAAGACGGAGTTTAACCTCTAAGACCCAACCAAATTTAAAAGAAAAATTGAAGAGAGATAGAAAGAAAGTTTAAAGTGATTGATAACATTCCATTGCATGGGAGTCAGCACGTGGTTTGACACTTTGACTAATTGCAGCAACAACTAAGGAGCTTACCTAATGTCTGCAATTGGCAAGCTTGAGACACTATAAAGTAAGAATATAAGTCGAGCTTTTAAATATAACCCAGGATTCAAACAGAAACAATATATATGATAAGTCAGATTCCAGATTAATGATATATAACTTATCTATAATTTATCTACAACTTATCCACAATTTTTACATATTATTTTTATCCAATTAAATATAACTATAATAACATACAACTTAAATACAAATTTTATACAATATATCTTTTGTATATTTTGTATTTGATTTATACATAGTAAAAATAAATTTCATACAACTAATTATATATTATACAACTTATCTATAATTTTCATACATTATTTCTACTCAGTTATATACAACTACAATATCATAAAACTTAAATATAATTTTTATACAATTTCTGCAGTATGATGTATGTCATGTATTCTTCTTCTTCTTCTTCTTCTTCTTCTTCTTCTTCTTCTTCTTCTTCTTCTTCTTCTTCTTCTTCGAGTTTCAATCTGAAATTCAGCCAAAATCAAGTCTAATCTTCACCAAAATCCCTCAAAATTGAGATATAAACTCCAAACCATATTCTCAATTATTTGCAACAACACCCAATCCAAACAAATAATGATTTTTGAAAATTCAAATTCGAATTCAAAGCTTCAAAGCTTTTTAATGGCTATCAATGGTGGAGTTGCTGCTCTCTTTTCCTTTACTTTACATTACTGAAATTTGGGATTGAGAGATAGAGAGAGACATAGAGAGAATTCTCAATTCTTTGCAACAACATCTAATCCAAACAAACAATGTTTTTTGAAAACCCAAATTCGAATTCAAAGCTTTTTAATAGTTGTCGATGGTGGAATTGTTGATCTCTTGTACAAGATACGTGGGGAGGGGATGGGATGTGGAGAGAGAAACGTGGGGGAGTGGAAGATATGTTAGAGTAATTTTAGGGCACTAATTATTATCATTAAATCCTTTAAAATGTACATAAATGGTAAGTGGGTATATAAAATGTAATTATAGTAAAACTTGAGTAGGGAAGGTAATATAGTTTCATATAGTGTGTAGGAATGTAAAAATTCCTATATAACTTGTCGCTTCAAATCCTTATGATATACTTTTTCAATTAGGACAACCCTTTAATACGCTCAATCTTTTCAAAGTGCGTCTAAAACACCTTTTGGTCACATTGCACTCATGTTTTTTACACACAATAAAGGCACGTTAACCCTATATAATGTCTGTCCCAATCTTTATTTAATAGTCTGCTTGGTCAAGCTGTAAAAATTAACTTATTTTGAGAAGTGTTTTTCTCAAAAGTATTTTCGGTGAGAAGCATTTTGTGTATGACTAATTAATTTGAAAAGCACTTCTGAGCAGCAATTAGTGTTTGGCCAAGCTTTTAAAAATTACTTCTAAGTGTATTTTTTTCAAAAATGCTTTTAAAAAGAACGTTTTTGGAAAGAAGCTACTTTTTCTGCTTCTCAAAAGCTGCTTCTGCTTTTCCTCAAAAATACTTTTTTTTCTTCTAAAAGTTTGGCCAAACAGTTCAACTTTAAGAAGAAAAAAAAATTTCTAAAATTGGAGAAGCTTGGCCAAACATGTGTCAGACTATTTTACTTCTTTTTTAACAAAAAAATATTTTGTTTCCTTTCCTTACCCAGTGATCTCACTATTCCCCAATGTCCCCTACTGTTCCGTGTTGCAAATACTTCCCTCTCGTCTTCCTTTTCTTAACAAGAATGACTTTTCTAAGTGGGCGTTTGGACATAAGAATTATAAAATTCCGGAAAAAAGTGAAAACATTTTCAAGTAAAAATGATATTTGAAAATTAGGGTTTTGTTTGGACATGAATATAATTTTGGGTTATTTTTGAATTTTTGTGAGTGATCTGAGTGAATTTTGAAAAACAGTTTTTTGGAGTTTTCAAAATTTTTGAAAAATTTCAAAATTAATCTTCAAGTGAAAATTGAAAATTTTATGGCAAAACACTGATTTCTAAAAAAAAGTGAAAAAGATTTCATCGCCAAACGAGCTCTAATTTAGAAGAATTAGGAAAAAAAAGCATTTGCAAATGTTGACAACAAAGAGACATAACATAGCCCACAAAGGAGATCATTGGTTCTGTGGATAAAACCCTCTTTGCAGGATTCAAGATGGAAAATTCTGGCGCTGACCGATCGAATTTTGACTCAAGAATCATGAAATTTGATCGAATTTAAAGAGTAAAGTTGAGTGGGGAAAATCAGAAAAGTTCACGCCTTTAGGTAATTATTAAGTGGGAATGTTCTAAGAGATAACGATGTTTGGTGGATGACAGAGCTATCCATAAGTTCTTGCTACCATAACTTCAGGGAGTTGACGGGGTACGAATTTGAGATTTTGAGTAAATATTGAAAGTTTTTTTCCTCCCAATATTTTTGATGGTTGAAAATGGAGGGGCTGCTAGATTTTATGGTAAAATAAATGGTGAGAATGTTAGTTCTCGATAGGTGGTGGTGAAAGAACTTGCGGGTCTTTGTTTGGAGAATAAGATGAAGTACTTATTTTTTTAAGTGTTTTCTTTTTCTTTTAGTTAAAGACACGTACCACGTTATTGTTAGTGCATGTCATACAACTTTGAAGAAAAAATGGTCAAATACCAAAGAGTATGTATTAGACACATTATGAAAAGGTTGAGTGTGCATAAGTTATCTATGTTGAAGAGGTGTGTCTCACGGATTTGACCAGAAGCTCAAATGGTAAACTATGCATTCTGCCTATTTAGAAGGAAGAACTACCAAAATACATCCCCAAAAAAAACTTACCTATAATTAGTCATTAAGTCATACTACCAAAAATAATAAGAAAAAACTACCAATGATATATAACATTCAAAAAATCTAGGCAAAATGGATTTTTTTTGTTCAATGGATATGGTTGAAATTTGTTAAAAGCACATAAATGAAATAATATACAAAATTTGAGGAAGATTAGAAGTAATTTAAACTGATTAGGAGTCAAAATCTGTTATCAATGATATACAACATTCAAAAAATATAGGCAAATTTTTCCCCCCAGAATATGGTTGAAATTCGTTGAAAACACATAGATGAGAAAATATATAAAATTTGAGAAAGGTTAGAGGTGATTTGGACCCGTTTGGAGTCAAAATTCGTACTTGAAATCGTGTTTAAAATTTCATTATGATACATGTATCTCACACAAAGTGTACATAAATATACAAGGGATACAATAGGGAACATATTTGATACATATGGGATACACAAATGAACATGAGGGTATACATCTTATCTTCTTTCATTTTCATTTTCATTTTGTACTTCGAATTTTGCTCAAATTTCAATTTAAACTACCTCAAATCTCCACTAAATCATCCCAAAATTGAAATTCAAACTTTAAGAAATGTATCCAATCAATTTCAACAACACCTACTCAAAATAAATTACAATTTCGAATACCCAAATTTTTAAACTCAAACTTAAGCCAGCTTCAATGGCTTTCAATGTAATTTTAGCTCATCTTCTTCACTTTTCATCAACCAAATAATGTTCTACGCACGAAAAAAATTCTAATAAAATTACTATTTCACGAGTAATAATAAGATCAACGATGAAGGAAATGTAATTATCTATTTGGATGTGATTTCGATATGTCAAATGCTAATTCAAGCTTTTTTTTTTGGTTGTTATATTGCTAATTCAAGATTCTTCTATGCAAAACTTTAGAGGGTGATATAAGGTAAAAGATATTTTTTTAGACTTGAAAAGTTTCAAATTTTATATTACATCAATGAATGGTGATGTTTTTTGAAATGTGCATTACCACATTAAAGTGTCAAGTTGCTCTTCTCATCCTTTTGCCATATGTTAAGCGCCAAACTCTTTCCCTAGAACGTGGCTGATAATGAATGTGGAGTTTGTGGATGTTGGCCTATAGCTAGCTCAAATGGTATCCACCGCGTGGACTCAAATTACTAGAAAACGACTAGTTTTCGATCGGTATTTCCGACTGAAAAATGTTGTCGGAAGTTTCCGTCGAATTCCTCAAAAATTTGGAAAAAGAATTACGTATTATTTTAGTTTTATTTTTAGTTATCGACCACTTCGGTTAAAAATATTCGTGCAAAATTCTACGCACCAACGCTCCGACAGAACTGGTCGAACTACACAGTCATTAAAAGTCAATATTTACTTTTGACTATGGGCCAATTGATTCGGTCGCTAATTTAAAATATAAAATAATTTTTTAAATTAGTGTACCGACCGTTTCGGTCGCAAACGAGCACACAAATCTATTTTTTTATTGTCAGACCGATTCAGTCGGAAACTCTTTTATTATTTTTCACCCACCCGATTTTCTTCTTATTTTTTCCTTCTCTCCATTCTCTAATCTAGCTCTAACCAGCAGTGACTCTGGCGATTCCGGCGCAGTAAATTTCTCTCTACATCGCTCTTCTTCATTCCCCTCTCTATCTCTCTCTTTCTCCATTCTTTTTTTCCCCATCACTCTCTCTCTCTCTCTCTCTCCATCCCTCTTATTCTTCAATATGACAATTACAGGCGGACTCCGATGGCTTATTCCGACGGCGGCGACAACATTGAGGTTAGTAATTTTTTCCTCTTTTTTTAGTACTTAATTCGAATCTCCCAATTTGATTCTCCGTGCATCCCTAAAATTGGATTCAACATTGAGGCTTAGATGTCTACTTTTTCTATTTAGATTTACCCTAGTTCGATTCTCTATGCATCCCTAAAATTTAACCATAACCTTACTAATAATATTATGTATTAGCAAATTGGAAAGTATTTTGAAAGTTTGTTGATGATGATAGAAAGTTGTCTTATTAATAATGTGCATTAGTGAATCTAAGATTTACATTTAAAATATAGCATGCTTTAAAATAGTTGAAAGCTCTATATTATTTTATTTTAATAGTTTAATGTAACTAACAAAATCTAATTTGAGTTAACTTAAGGGTCATAAGATCATGAGATTTGTGTAGTTGATACGAAATTTAGTAGTTATCAAAATATTAACTCCTAAGATTTGAACTTATTCATCAAATTAATAAGCTTAGATAGTCAAGTAATATTTTTTAAAGTGTTTGGCATTTATATAACTTATAGTGTTGAAATCATCCAAGTATTACACTTAAAAAATATAAGAAGTGAGTGGATAGATAACTTTGATGAGAATATGACTTATTAATTAGTTAGTGTTATAAATATTATTTTATTTATGGCGAAAGTCTATCGTTTAGAGAGATTTTAAGATTTGTTACTTTGTGACTAAGTCATTTTCCCCCTATAAATAGAGGGATTCTATTTCATTGTAATTCATCTCAAATCAATAAGAATTCTCTCTCTATTCTTTTTCTGAAATACTCTTCTTCTTATTTATTATTTTATAACACGTTATCAGCACAAGACTCTAACCAATTGAGTAGAGGGTGGTTGTTTTTATTTGTATATATACTATTAATTGGTTGTCTAATGTTTGAGAAATTAAACCACCCGCGGAGAGAAGATATAAGAATTTGTGTGAGGCTCTTGTGCAAATGCATTGATATTCCTGTACTAGGCATCTGCTTTATTCACCAGACTCTGGGATACGTGCATGGTGATCAACTTGTATATAAAATAGAGAATAATGATTGTCAATTGTTCCATGAACTTTCTTCAGGATTTTTGTTTGGATTTAAGGTACGCAATTTAACTTATTTTTCTTTTACATTCTTGAAATTCTACAATTTGATTTTAAATACAAGGAAAGACAATAAATTTTGATTATAACTCTAATAACGTTTGTAAGAAATTATAACCATTCAAAGTGGTAGAATTTCTCTGTCTTGCCATGATCAAATTCATGTATGATTATGAGCACAAGAAGTGAAAACCCGTCTCATTTAATTTGCTTCATTCTCGTTTCCTTAAGATAATGTAGTAGTAGTATGTGCTAAGTCCGAAAGAAGATAAAATTATTACCGTGAAGGTATCAATAGATGTAGATGTGGTAATAGATGAAATTATAATCGTCATCATTGTGGTAACATGTAACGACCCGACCGGTCGTTTTGAGCATTTGCACTTTTCTCGGTAGTTTTCTGGCATGAGTAGCTCCATATTATGTTCTATGACTTATGTGAATCGTTGGTTTTCAAGTTATTCGTATTTGATTTGGAAGAATGATTCTCAGCTAGAAGCTTTAAATTCGAAAGGTTTGACCAAGTTTGACTTTTTAGTATTTGACCTCGGATTGGACTTCTGATGGTCCCGTTAGCTCCGTTGGGTAATTTTGGACTTAGGAGCGCGTCCGGATTGTGATTTGGAGGTCCGTAGTAGAATTTGGCTAGAATGGCGAAAGTTAAATTTTGGAAAGTTTGACCAGGAGTGAAATTTTTGATATCGGGGTCGGATTCTGATTCCAAAAGTTGGAGAAGGTCTGTAATGTCAAATGTGACTTGTGTGCAAAATTTGAGGTCAATCGGACGTGATTTGATAGGTTTCGTCATCGATTCTGAAAGTTGAAGTTTCAAAGTTCAGAAATTTCGAATTGAGGTGTCATTCGTCATTTCGATGTTGTTATGTGTGTTTTGAGGCCTCGAGTAGGTCTGTGGTAGGTTATGAGATTTGTTGGTATGTTTGGACAAGGTCCAGAGGGGCTCGGGCGTGTTTCGAATTGATTCCGGATCATTTTTCTTCATGTTGCTATTGCTGAAGGCTGCTGATCTTGGTGTTTCCTCATCTACGAAAGAATGCACACAGACAAGTCCGTAGATGCAGAGAATTGATCGCATAAGCGAAGGAAGGCTTGGTTGTAATGGATCGCAGAAGCGGGAATAGGGGCGCATCTGCGGCCCCGCAGAAGCGAAGATCATGGCGCAGAAGCGAGATTTAGGGCAGAAACGTGTTTGGTTTCGCACATGCGGTTGCACAGAAGCAGATATTGATCGCAGGTGCGAGGGGTCAGTTGGCTAGTGGAGTCCGCAAAAGCGGAGCTCGTGTCGCAGAAACAACGCTGCAAAAGCAGCTAATGTGACGCAAATACGAAAGTGCTGGGCAAAATGATAAATATAAGGGTTCGCGATTTGGCTTCATTTTAACATTTCCAAGCTCGGATTAAGGCAATATTTGGAACAGTTTTCACCATATGAATTGGGGTAAGTGTTCTCTACTCGGTTTTAGTTATATTACATGAATCTATCTTCGATTTTAGCTGTTGGTTGATGAATTTTAAAGAGAAAATTGGGGGTTTTGGCCTAAAGTTTCATAACATGAATTTTTGAGTTTTGAACATCGAATTGGAGTCGAAATTGAGTGAAACTAGTATGGTTGAACTCGTAATTGAATGGGTTGTCGGATTTTGTGAGTTTTGTCGGCTTTCGAGGTGCGGGCCTATGTGTGATTTTTGGCCGGATTTGGGATTTGATTAGGATTCGATTTTTATCATTTGGAATTGTTTTCTTGGGATTTATTTGATGTATTTGAGTTGCTTTTGGCTAGTTTTGAGCCGCTCGGAGGTCACTACGTGCATGATGGCATCATTGGAGCATCGCTTGGCTTGCTCGGTATTGGAATTTGGTTTGTTCGAGGTAAGTAACTTTTCTAAACTTAGTGATGAGGATATGAAACCCTGAATTATGTGCTATGTGATTGATGTTGAGGTGACACACATGCTAGGTGACGGGCGTGTGGGCGTGCACCCCGTGAATTATGACTCTGTTGTTTTATGGAACTATTTAGTGGCTCTATTTTGTTGATATTTCTATTTTGACCATGTGATTAAGTAACTGAGCTGTCACTCATGTTAGATATCATGTTTAGGTTTTATGCTGATATTATTATGACCCATAGTGTTCGTTTCTTACTATCATCTCATTGACATTTTGTGCTCAGTCATATTCGTGCATTAATATCATATCTCGGTCTTAGTTGTTGTTTATTGATACATAATATCATTGTTGTCGGGCAAGTTTCATGACATTGTGAGCCCATGAGTGAGACTAGAGAGATTGATGACTAAGTGAGGCTGAGAGCCTGATTATGAGTGACAGTTATGGGATCGGGCTACACGTCGCAACATGTTATATTGATTTATGACTGGATCTGGCTTATGATAGCTCTTGGTCTATAGGAGCCCCTCCGGAGTCTGTACACACCCCTAGTAAGCGCAATTGATTATATTGAGGGATGGATCTTCCCTCGACATGGATCTTGTCCGAAGCATACATATATACCTGGAGATGGATCTTCTCCATGGGGCTAGATTGGCCTTCCTCGGCACTGAGTGACTGATAGTCAGTGAGATATATATATATATATTCTGGGATGAATCTTCCCTGGGCCGTATGGTCATATACAGTACCTAGTGGTATAGCATGATGAGCAGAAAGTGTGAGACAGTATTATTGAGTACTCTGAGAGTGTGAGTACATCATCTCTCAGATACATGGCATTGACATGCACGCATGACATACATGCATATAGATGTATGTTTCCTCATGATGTACGGTATCACGTCATTCATGACTTTTTACATAAATTGATAAGTGGGCATAGAGAGGTATTTCAAACTTGCTATCTGGAAAGAAAAGGAAACATCTTATTTATTGTGAAAGTATTTTGGAAAAATTACAATTTTTAACTATCTCATATTTTTCGATGATTTTGGTAATGGATTGGGTTTTCATTGATACTCTTGAAAAGCGGAACTATTTTTGAAAAACTGTGAAAAACCTGAGCATTTTATGTAAGACCTCAAAAAAAATTTCTAAGTAATTTAGGATTTCGAGGTGCCATGTAGGCTAATTATAATATTTTATGTGCTATAAATATGATATAAATGAATTGAATTTGGTAAATAAGTGTATAAGTCTTATAATAAGTAATTTGGGGTCCAAGGGAAGTCCTAAGTCTAAGTCAAATTGTAAAATTTCATAATAGGCTAAAATTCCAAATGAGTTTACACAAGTCTACATTTTGGACGAGCATATCTAAATATACATAATGTTTTATGTGATGAACAACCTATTATATGAAAAGTCTTCGAGTCTAGTTTCTAACGCTTTAAACCGTTCGTCATTTGGACATTCCTACATAAAGTTATGATCAAATTACTAAAGGCTGGAAAAATGTGATCCTATGTCAGCTCTGTGATCGCAAAATCATTATGCGGTCCGCATAATCGATCTACGACCGCAAATATGGTAGCAAATTGGATCAGTGTAGCCCAATTTTGGGCACCAGTTCGGTGATGCATTTTGCGACCCACATTCCTATTTTGCGTTTCGTTATGCGACCGCAGACCCGACTTCGGAGGCATATTTTTTCTATTTTTATAACACGACCCCATTTTAATATATAGGCTTTGGGGATTCATTTGGGGTCATTTTACTACTGATTTTAGAGAGAGTTGAGAACATATAGAGAGAGAAAGAAGGAGCCTAGCTTCATAATCACCCAAATCTTGCTCAAGTTTTCAAGAATCCAGGAAGATAACCATTTGATTGTCCTCCATCCGGATAAGTCCTTCTTCCAAGATTTCATGTAAGAGGTTAAGGGTTCAAATATGTTATTGGGATTAGAAATAGTCCATGCATGTGGGACTAAGTTGTATTATGTGATATTAAAGAACTAATTTGGGTAGTTCCTGTTAAAATTGGTTGAGGGAAGAAAGAATTTCCATTTTCAGACATTGTAGACTACTTCACATGTTAGGTGCTTGATGAAATTCCGAAGAGAGTTACACCATGGGTAGTCTTCCTAACTATTAATCGATTCCCGCTATCTCCATATAGATTGTTATTGCTAGAGGTGTTGGTGGATTATAGAAACTTAAGGAAAAGCTCTTTGAGGTATGTATGGCTAAATGTCCATCTTCTTAGAAATTGAGCTCCGTTGGTGTCTATGCAAATGTGGTAAGACTAAAATTTGGTTGATGTATTGATTGTTATTTCACATGAATTGGTTTTGTAATTATATATNATTAAAACTGAGATTGTCATGCCAACTATGTGAAATCTTACCTATTCTTACAACTTGAATTGCTTTTGTATGTGCCTATGATCTTAAACTGCAAGGTTAACATTGAAAGTGGAAATGATATGATAATTATGGCTCTAAGTGCCTATGAATTGATATGTGTGAAATAAAGATTGAAATGAGATGATTAATGAGAAAGGAACAACGTATTGGTAAGGCGGCCTAGCCGATCAGGCCGTGATCAGATGCCATGCCGCACACATGGTGGTATTGTGTTGATATTGAATTCCGAAAAGTGAGAATGAGATTGTGATTGAGGTACATGTCTCAAATGAGGCAACCTAACCGATCGGTTCGTGATCGGACTCCGCTTAAGAAAGCGGTGGTATTGTGAATGATGATGCAACAATATGGAATGGCCCAACCTAAAACTATGGAATCGTGTGAAAGCTATGTGATCCCTTATTTGTATTTGATGAGGTGGTGATTGTTTAAAGCTTTGTTGATCCTTATGATTTCTTTATTCTTGTACGGTTGTTTTTTCTAATGAGATGGTGTTTAGTTATACATACTAGTGCTATTCGACGACACTAATATCTTTTTTGCCGGGGGCGCAACGTCTTTAAATGGATGTAGGTGGTTCCATACCAGGCAGTGTTGGTCGCAACTGGTGACGCATCTCCCTTTCAGCTGACTTGGTGAGCCCCACTTCATTTCGGGGTCTTGTACTGTTGTTTATCATGTACTTTGTATTTTGAGGTATAGACGGAGCCGTAGACAGGTTGTGGGTGGTGTCAGTTATTGAAAATTTGAACTATATATGTTGTTATTTGGCAAAATATTTCCTTCGTACCTATAAATTGTAATAATTTGGTTAGTATGGTTGAACTGTTAATGAAAGACAAAGTAAAAATTGTCAATGTAATGCTTATAAGGTAGGATTTATGGAGTTCATCTCCTTGTTATTCATAAATTAATTTTGGGTAAAATGAAACCTAATAGGCTTGCTCAGTCAGGCTTGCTTGGTTGAGCGCCGGTCGCGCCCCTCAGTTTTGGGGCGTGACAAACTTGGTATCAGAGCCCAAGGTTTTAATGTGTCCTAGGATGCCTCGGAGCCGTATCTAGTAGAGTCCTTCTTATCGGTGTGTTGTCGACCACATCTATAAGTTGGAGGCTATTTGGACATTTAGGAATTCTCCCCCTTCTTTGATACTCCAGATCGTGCAATATAGCTAAAGATAGGGAGCTGATTTTCTCTCTAAGTCTTATTCTCAAGATTAGTAATCTTGATACCATAATCCATGAATTTGAAGCATGTAAGAAGGGATTGATCCCACCATTGAGTCCGAAGGAGATTGCCCAAAGGTTTGTTAAAAGAATGTATTTAGCCCTAGAGGGATTAGTAAAACCTATCGCCAAGGGAAGTTCTCATAAACATGGTCTTGATAAGCAATTGAATCACAAAACATTGCATGCATCTACTCCTTGAACGAGATCCATTATTTCATGAATCCACTTTGCCCGCAAATTTTCTTATATGCAATCTCTTATGATATTGAGCTGTATAATCATGTCCTTGAATTGAGTTTTAACTATAGAAATACTATTTCTAACACGCCTTTCTAAACTTTCAACGAGGGACTATACCCGAAGAACTTCTTACCGAATGAATGGATGGACAATTCTAATATTTTCGCACAAAATAAAAAAATATTTTCTCTCGACCATTTATTCTTCTCTATTCAAAACCCTAGGCCATTTTTCTTCTAGTTTCTGTTTCAGTCTGAATGTTGACATAAGGTCTTGCCTTGTGTTATCATCCTCTTTAGTTGGTAGTGCCCTCACTCTACTTTTTTTGAGACTTCCATTTTCGCCTAGTGATTGGAATTGGAAAGATTTTCATTTGCTTGGCGAGTTCTCCCTCTTCTCTTGCAAGTTACTTTCTGGATTTGGTCTAATCAATTGCTTTTGGTGACATTGCTAAATCTCCATAGAAGCTAGGGTTTGTCGACCCTCTATTTCTGCAGTTGGATCATGCTACTTATTCTTGTTGTTCATCTTATCCTTGAAGGTTGTCCTTCTTCTAGTTGTAAGGAAGATGAGTGCTTTTGCTCCTCTTTTGATTTGCATGATACTTGTTTGAGTGTCTCTATGTGTTAATTGCTCTATTTTGCTACAAATCCAACTGATTTTAATGTTAGTAGTGGCTCCACTAGCCGTGAGGCTTTTGAGTTTACTCCTAGAAACCTCAAGTCCTCTTTCTGTTAATTCCTCTAATATACCCGGTCTTCCCCTGGTTGTTGGCTTATTTTTCCTGTTCCAATTTCGGTGGTTGAAGGAAGATTATAATTGTGTCTTTGGCATCTAGAAATAAAATTTTCTTTATCGATGGTAATCCACCTGAATCCCCTTGCCAATTTAGTTGAATCCAAGCAATGGGATAGATGTAACAATACCTTTATTTTCAGGATGACTAGTTTTCGGTCTTCTGATATTATTGGGATTTTCTGTATTCTGACATAACCAAACAAGGATATGGAATTATGGGTGGCAGAGACAAGTCAATTCATCCTCTCACTTTAGCTATAAATATGCTTTATTCACTATCAGCTATACTATCCCTACTCAATCCTATCCCCCTTAGAAGCACTGTCCTTAAAGGTTGAACTTTTACCTAGAAAGAGTAGCTCTAATTTGGAAATACTTCAAGATGTCTAGTCAATGGATTAATAAATTTCACAAATTACATGGGTTCCCACCTCACTTCAAGTTCATCAAGGGTTGATAGCATGCCGCAATTGCTGAGATTGAATGATCTTATTTCGATAATGGATTATCTACACATGTGCTAGTCCAATGATCTGCTTATCAGTCTAACTCTTGCCTTTTGGTTTTGGGTTGACCAAGGAGCAATACACCTAGTAACACAATCATATGTCAAAGCCTTTCTCTCAGTCAAGTCTTATAGCATCTCCCAATTTGGCTGGTAATAACTGGTTGTGTAGAAGTGTGTTGTAGTGCTTCATTGTGAAGTAGAATTGCTAAACATAATTGGATTTTTGAATTCTGGAGCTATACATCACGTGACTATATACTGAGATCTTCTTTCAAAAAAATTTAGCTTCTCGTAATCCCTTATATTACCACCCTTCCTAGTGGTTACGATGTAAAGGTTACTTCCATAGGCTCTCTCATTTTATTTTCATTTATCTTGCATCATGTTTCATTTTTCCATATTTTTCAATACGATCTTATCTCATTTTCTCGACTAGCTATCCAACTATATGATTCGATTCAATTTACCTCACTTTTATGTACTCTACAAGCCCCTTTTTCTAAAAAGGACACTGGAAGTGGGTAAATTCCCCTTTACTATAGACTTCTAATGTCTTCAACTCAATTTAAGCTTGTGGGTTCCAAATGGTGCTCTTTAGTTTGCTGCCCTACTATCTATACTAAGAATAGAATTTACAAAGCTGATATGAAGTAAATATATCTTCTATTTGAAAAGTACATAAACAGAGCTTTTATAAATCTACGACTACCACGAACAAGAGCCAGCTACAACCGGACGCAGGTACATCTTCAAATCTAGCTCACATCGAACACAACAACCTCAACAACCAACATCTGCACGCAATGTGCAGAAGTGTAGTATCAATCCAATCGATCCCATGTACTGGTAAGTAACAAGCCTAACCTTAGGTTGAAAGTAGTGACGAGATGGAACATAGTCGGGTCCAACACCAGTAGCCAACAATAGTTCATAACAACACAGAGCATATAAATAAGGAAGTAACTCAGAGATAAAATGCTCAGCTTTTCCACAGTTTTTCAAAAATAGTTCAGCTTTTCAAGAATATAAGTGAAAACCCAATCCTTTACCGAAATCGTCAAAAAATATGAGATAGTAGAAAATTGTAATTTTTCCAAAATACTTTCACAGAAAATAAGATGTTTCCTTTTCTTTCCAGATAGCAAGTGTGAAATACCTCTCTATTTCCACATATCAATGTATATAAAAAGTCATGAATGACGTGATACCGTACATCATGAGGAAAAATGCATTTTTATGACTGTATGTCATGTGTACATGGCATTTCATGTGTGCATGCCAGTGCCATGTATCTTAAAGATGAATCATGTACTCATACTCTCAGAGTACTCAATCTCACTGTCTCACACTTTCCGCTCATCATGCTCAACCACTCGGTACTGTATACGCCCCATACGACCCAGGGAAGATCCATCCCGGAATATATACATCACTGACCATCAGTCACTCAGTATCGAGGAAGGCCAATCTGGCCCCATGGAGAAGATCTATCTCCAAGTATATATGTATGCTTCGGAGAAGATCTATGTACAGGGAAGATCCATCCCTCAATATAATCAATCGCGCTCACTAGGGGTGTGTAGAGACTCTAGAGGGGCTCCTATAGCCCAAGTGCTATCATAAGCCAGATCCAGGCATAAATCAATATAACATGATGTGGCGTGCAACTCGATCCCATAACTGTCACTTATAATCAGGCTTTCAGCCTCACTCAGTCATCAATCACTCCAATCTCACTCACAGGCTCACAATATCATGAAACTTGCCCGACAACAATGATATGATGTATCAACAAACAACAACTGAGACCGAGATATGATATGAATGCATGAATATGACTGGGTACGAAATGTCAATGGAGTCAATGAGATGACAGTAAGAGACGACCACTATGGGTCCTAACAATATCAGCATAAAGCCTAAACATGATATCTAGCATGATTGACAGCTCAGTTACTTAATCACATCGTAAAAATACAGATATCAACAAAATAGGGCTACTAAATAGTGCTATGAAACAACGGAGTCACAATTTAAAGGGTGCACGCCTACACGCCCGTCACCTAGCATGTGCGTCACCTCAACATCAATCACATAGCACGTTACCCTCAGCAATAAGTTTAGAAGAGTTACTTACTTCGAACAAGCTAAATTCCAATACTGAGCAAGCCAAGTGATTCTCCAAAGATGCCATCACGCGCGTAGCGACCTTCGAACATCTTAAAACTAGCCAAAAGCAACTGAAATACATCAAGTAAAGCCTAAGAAAATAATTCCAAATGATAAAGATCGAATCCTAAATCAAATCCCAAATCCGGCCAAAAAACACACCCGGGCCCGCATCTCGGAAGCCAACAAAACTCATGAAATCCGACAACCCATTCAATTACGAGTCCAGCCATACTACTTTCACTCAATTCCAATTCCAATTTGATGTTCAAAACTCAAAAATTCATATTATGAAACCTTAGGCCAAAACCTCCCATTTCCTTTTTAAAATTCATCAACCAACAACTAAAATCGAAGATAGATTCATCGAATATAACTGAAACCGAGTAGAGAACACTTACCCCAATTCATATGGTGTAAATTGCTCTAAACATCGCCTCAACATAGCTTGGAAATATTAAAATGAAGCCAAAATTGCGAACCCTTGTATTTGTCATTCTGCCTAGCACTTTCGCATTTGTGTCACATTAGCCACTTCTGCGACACGAGATCCGCTTCTACGGACTCCACTAGACAACTGACCCCTCCCACCTGCGAATCAATATCTACTTCTATGCAACCGCAGTGCGAAACCAAACACGCTTTTGTGCCTAAGATCTTCGCTTTTGCGGGGCCGC